CCCGCTCGATACTTCTTCCATATTCAAGCCTCAGGAGCCCAAAAGTGACGACAGTTACATGTTTCAGGAGGACCCGCCTCGGATTAATAACATGATTTGCGGGCCCCATAGGGAGGGGGTTCCCGCCTGAGACTTCCTCACAATTCACTCACAGACGAGGCTCCCGCCTGATACTGCCTCCGCAATCAAACCTCAGGAGCGCAAAAATGACGACAGTTACAGGTTTCAGGATGACCCGCTCGGATTCGTAACATGATCTGCGGGCCCCATAGGGAGGGGGCTCCCGCCTGAGACTTCCTCACAATTCACTCACAGACGAAGTTCCCGCCTGATGCTTCCTCCATATTCAGGCCTCAATTCAGCGAGTAGTGATGATGATGATGATGATGATGATGATGATGATCGTTCGACGCCGATGATGGTGAGTGATTGTGGGATGGTAATGGTGATGCTAATGGTGATGATGATGATGAGTGGGGAGTGATGATGATGGTGATGATGATGCGGAGGAGGAAGCAAAGAGGAGCAGAGGAGAGGGAGGAGGACGAGAGATCCTGCGCGGAGGGTGTGCAGAGAAAACAAGAACCCCACTTAGGATGTGGGGAAAATAATTACCGACCCCCCCCATCCCCCGTAGAATCTTAACACGGGCGGTTTGCGGGGTCCGCGGATCCGATTTCTTCCGGCTCCCTGTTTTAATTGAATAATATAAATTTCAAACAAGGTAGAAATCGGATCCGCCGTAAAAAATGAGACCGGACACGGATCCAGCGAATCCGAAATCGGATCCGTACGGACGGAAATCGGATCCACCGAAACAACAACCAAAACCACATTTGAACCCGCGCGCGCTTCATGGGATCCGACGGCGGTTATCTCATACGGGTCTGCTCAAGACTTCACACCGTCGTTCCGGGCCCAAGAGGAAAAAAACTTTCGTCCTGGGGATGAGCGTTTTGGTCTTCGGACTCGTTGGTTACCATCTTGCCGGCACTCCGCGTCTCACAGGCAGTCCGTTGTTGGTAACCACACAGCCGACACACCACATCTCACAGGCAGTCCTTCGGGTGAGGAAACGCAGGGCCGAAACGCATTTACGCAGGACGAAAGATTTTCCTCTTGGGGTGGAAAAAAGGCCATGAGGACTTCGCGAGACAACGTCGGCGCCGCCGGACGGACGGCGACCGGACGAGCTCTTTGCAGCAACCGGGGGGGGAGGGATGTATGTTTTCATGTTGAATGGGGCCCGCTCGCGCGGGGAGTTGATGGGAGTGCGCGAGACGACGCAAGGCCCATCGTGGAAAATTAATTACCGAACCCCCTCATCCCCCGTAGAATCTTAACACGGGCGGTTTGCGGGGTCCGCGGATCCGATTTCTTCCGGCTCCCTGTTTTAATTTAGTAATATAAATTTCAAACAAGGTAGAAATCGGATCCGCTGTAAAAAATGAGACCGGACACGGATCCAGCGAATCCGAAATCGGATCCGTACGGACGGAAATCGGATCCACCGAAACAACAACCAAAACCACATTTGAACCCGCGCGCACTTCATGGGATCCGACGGCGGTTATCTCATACGGGTCTGATCAAGACTTCACACCGTCGTTCCGGGCCCAAGAGGAAAACACTTTCGTCCTGGGGATGTACTACGACTACGACTACAACAACAACAACAACAACAATCACTTTACCCGAACGCTCAGTGTTCTCACCAGTGCCAGGGTTTTCATGCGACGCCAGCCAATACCCCCACTTTGTGGGGGGGCAGTGCAAGCTCTACCAAATATCCACACGACTCTTCGCCACCACCCACACCCAGCTTCCCGCCCTATGACGTTCGGACACTTCACTTCGTGGCCTGCGGACGACCGTGGCTACTACACTGGCGTGGAGTACACACCCACAGAAGTTGTTAAGCCTACGTTCGTACACCCACAGAAGTTGTTAAGCCTTGTTAACCCACAGAAGTTGTTAAGCCTTCCACAGAACATCTGTTGCATATGATGCATATGGTACATGATACACATGATACACATGATACGTACTCACAAGATAGTTGATCACATCTTTAGGGCAAATTCCTGAGGGATGTGGGAATACACAAGAGAGAGAGGATATGGTTGTCCCGATGGTTGTCTCGATGGTTGTCCCGATGGTTGTCCTGATGGTTGTGGTTGTCCCGATCGTTGTCCCGATGATTGTCCCGATGGTTGTCCTGATGGTTGTGCTTGTCCCGATCGTTGTCCCGATGACTGTCCCGATGATTGTCCCGATGGTTGTCCCGATGGTTGTTCCGATGGTTGTCCCGATGGTTGTCCCGATGGTTGTGAGCGATGCCGGATCCTCACGCCCCCCGCCGGAGGAGGAGGAGGAGGAGGAGCAGGACAAGGAGGAAAGGAGAGAAGAGAGAACGGAAGGAGGGGCGGGAACGGCGCTTGCACGCCCACCCACCGTCTTTTCCCCGCCGCGGCTCTAAAGAGACGAGTTCGTGTGCTCGTCATCTTCTGGCATACGCCCGTCCCTGATGGCACGGATGGGGCGCAATGCTGCCAGCTGGGCTCCTGGCAGAAATACATCAGGGGCCAAGTGTCCAAGCATGGTGCCGATACGCCTCCTCACGGATACATCGCCCGTGCGTGCGAGGGGCGATGAAAATGATTAAATTCTTAAGAAGCCCAATGGTTTTTGGAGATTTCGGCGTGCGCGCGCGAAGAAAAAACTAATGTGTCCCGCATGGTATTATTTGACAGGGATGATGGCCCTGGCAGGTGCGCAACCGTTGTCGCAGAAGTTCGAAAAAGTTGCTCGCAAAAGCCCGTTTGACAGAAATGTTTAAAAAGTGTTGGGTTTCCTACGAATCCGCAAGAGCGCGCGGGATGAGATTTTGACAGTTTTTTGTTGAAAAACCATTGGTTTTTTGATGTTTTTATGTTAAAATCGCTGCGAACACTAAGGTTTTGGAAGGATTTCGTCTTGCGCGCGCGAATGTCCACTTTACCTTATTTTTTGCAAGGGATTCTTGAAATTTGATTATATTAGAACAAGAAATGTCATTTTCTATTGTTTTTTGCAAGGGAAAGCGGATTACAACAAAACAACCGGATCCTGTACACACCCTCTTTTCTGAGGCTTCCTCACGAAAATGATGAAAATGTAGCTGCGGCCTAGGCGGCGCAGGGGGGGCGCGCACCAGGGGGCCCAACAATAATTATTCTTTAGAATAAATAATGTTCAACAACAACAACAACTACTACTACTACTACTATTACTACTACTGTCCTGCTACTGCTACTGCTTCTGCTGCTACTTCTATTGCTACTACAACTATTACTGCTGCAGCTTCTGCTGCTGCTACCAAAGTAACACTTCCAACTGCTACGGCTACTGTCGCTAATACGGAAGCCGCTGGTACTGGTGCTACCAATGCTACGCCTGCTGCTACAACATACAAACTATTGCAACTACCGCTGCTGCCGCAACTACTATTGCTGATACTGCTGCTACGACTGCTGTTTCGGAATGCGTCACAGACTCCTGAAATTGGGGTGCCTACCCATGATGTTGCGTCTGATGCTGTTATTCGTGCTACTACTGCTAGCTGCAAGGCTGTCAGCGCTGTTGATACTATTCTTATTGGCGCCACTGCACCTACTGAGTCTGCTGATACTGCCACAACTGCTTCAGGTGCTACACAGACTCCTGCTACTTCTGGTGGACACAGCAAGTGGGCGATCGCGGCAGCAACGGTGGGGACAAGTGGCACAAAACGACGCAAATCACAAACGAACAAATGTTTTGGCCGACCAGAGACAGAGGTCCTTGTCGCACACGCAACTGCTGGCAATCTAAACTGCGCTGCCCTACTGGCTCATGGCCACTGAACCAACAAACGGCTGCACCGCGGAGTCGCAACATACGCGAGCGGATTTCGCCGCCCAGACGAGGCTCATGATCAAAGCATCAACGCACCCGTGCAACATCCTGACGAGAGAAACGGCAAGACGCCTTTGACAGTAGAGGGCCAAGAACATCCAGAGACTCTCACGAACTGGTGATTGCAATATCCCTGCCCATTCCGATGCGGCTTCTCATAAATCCGGTGCCTAGATTTGTTCAACACGGGTTCAGTGAAATCCAGACTCTTTTACCAAGGCCGGCTCTTAATCCTGAGCCGTCTTTGACGGTCCCGAGAATTGGGAAAGGCTCCCGCAGAGGCCGAAACCTGACAAAACCGCAGCCTTCATTTTGTCAGTACCTTGTCACAGTCCCCGCAGTTGTTGATACGAGTGAAGGTAGACGAGCGCGTTCCAATACTCGCAAAGTAATCACTCGCAAATGGCCTGGATCCGCCGCGGGGGGCTCTACGATAGATGGCATCGAAGCAGACACGTGCATTTCGGACGTTTGCGAGTCAGGCAATTTGCGAGTAGTGGAGCGCGCTCGGTGAGAAGGGGCGCCAAGACTCGGGCGCACCACGGGTTCTGCAGAGCTGACGCAAGACCGTCCGCCGCAGGTGCCGAGTCTTTTGTGGAAGGCATCGGGGGTGGGCTGGCCCGCCGCAAGCGCCGACCTGGCTGGAGCAAATGTCGCGCGGTCGGGTCGCGCCGATGGGTCGCGGCGCGGGTGGGTCGCGGCCGGGTGGATCGCGGCGTGTGCGGGTCGCGGGTGGGTCGCGCACGGGTGGGTTGCGGGTGGGTCTCGACGCTGGCGGGTCGCGAGGCGGGGCGGATGGCGACGGCGACAACAGGAGCGATCGCAAGAGCGGCCACAATCCGCACCGCGGAAGCCAACATTGTCGCCGCACCAGGGGAGAGAGTGAGAGCGTCCGGCGCTCTCGCTCTGACACTGGAGGCACGGGCTGGAATCAGGCACCCGGTCTTACGATCGAAGTGTAGGTTGCAATAGCGATCGTGATACGTGCCAAGAAGCCACCACGCCTGACGGATCGACCCGCCCTGGATGCCAGACGGATAATCAGATCCAGATTTGCTCAGTGTCTAGATACCAAGCGTGTCTGAGACCAGTATCAGTCGAATGCCCAATCGCCTGGAAGCAAACTGGCAAAGCTCTGGCAGGAAGGTCAGAGTATTAGATGTACTGGATTTGAACACGCGGTCGAGTGACATTCCCCACGTAGGTCCTTCGTCTTACAGCGGGTTCGTGTCGTGACGACCCTAGCGTTGGTCTCTGACACCGCGTGTACCGATCGACCTTGAACGATCGGCGGCTTCGCGATCGCCAGATCGTTCCATATTGGCAGATTCTGGGCCAACGAGGGGGCCAGATTGTAAGAATGTCTCGAGCGGCGTGTTTGTCTTGGTGGTCAGGCTGGTCTGCGTTCACATCAGATTCCGAGGATGTCTCGGCGAGGCGCTGGCTTCAACACCCCCCTTTGGGGGAGGGGGGGGCGCCAGGGAGTGTCTCATTCCCCGTCCGCGCCCAGATTGTGGGGATGTCTCAAGCGGTTTGCTTATCTATCAACCCAACATCCTCTGCGTTCGGAGCTGATTCTGAGGATGCCTCAGGCGAGGCGCTGGTTTTCGCACCCCTGGTGGGCCAGACTGCGAGGATGTCTCGAACAACTTGCTGGTTTTAGTGACCAAGCTCGTCTCCGAACATGAATATTACTCTCCTCTCCCCTAGTGACGTACGAAAAATGTCTGGCCCCCATCCGTGAACTGTGTTTTTACACTTCGAACTCCTGGGAAGTGGGTTTTCGCTGAAGCGCTGGCCCCATGTCTTCGCCTCTGGTTGTTCCAAATCGTGATCCCGCTGCAGCGCGGGCGTGTTCGGTCCTCCCAAGGCCCCAAAAATTTAAAACATGCCCCCCCCCCCCGAAAAAAACATCGGAAGTGGTTACACGTTCGGTGTCGATTCGTTGATTTCTGGGGCCGCAGAACCCCCCACACGTTGGGGCGTCGTCGTTTTGAGGAAGTCAAGCGGGAGCCCCGTTTCTGCTCTGAGAAGGCGGTATTGAAAGCAGAGCCAGCGGGTGTTCGTTCAGCCCCGCCTTGTGTGGAGCTTTTCAGGGAGCCCAAGGAGCTAGCCTTGGAGCCACGACTACAGACCGTCCCAGACCTCTCGAAGACGATCCACTGAGCCTCCAAGGAACCCCGAACCATGCCATGACATGCTGTGCGGTGTTGGTGCGCCGCTGTGTGATGCCATGCCTTGCGTTGCAGTGTTTTGTGATGCGATGCTTCACTGCGCAATGCACGCCATGCTATGGCATGCTACGTTCCGCCGTGATCTTCTACGCCATGTCATGCCGTGCTCTACCATGCATCGCATACCCTCTCGCGATCACTGCACTGCTCGACATCCGACTGTGCGAAAAGAGAGGACATATACGCCATGGTAAGGGATTGGAGGGGGGGGGACGTCAGATATGGCACGAGCGCACCTAGCTTGGCATTGCCTCTCTGCATAGCTTGGCATTGCCCCTCTGCTGTGGCTCCAATCTTGAGTGTGTTACGCATGGTCCTATATATATTGGGCCTCTCCTGGGACACGAATCCCCCCTAGGAGGCCCCAGGAGGCTCCAAGAGGCTCTGGGAGGCACCACGGGGCACGGGGAGGCACCAGGAGGCCCCAGGAGGCCCCAGGAGGCCCCAGGAGGTCCCGAGAGGCCCCAAGAGGTCCCGAGAGGCCCCAGGCGGCTCCAGGAGGCAGCAGAAGCCCCGCGAGGCTCCACGGGGCTCTAGGAAGCTCCTGGAGGAGGCTACAGGAGTGGCTCCAATCCGATGTGTTTCTCGTATGTTCCCATCGATCGGGCCTCTCCTGGGGCACAAGGATTTGCCCTTCTCCTGTGGCTCCAATGCTGAGTGCTTTCCGCATGTTCCTACCGATTGGGCCTCTCTTGGGGCACGAATCCTTGGTGCTGTACGTCTGCTCCCATAGATTGCCCTTCTCCTGTGGCTCCGATCCTGCATGTTACGTACTTATGCTCTTATTGATCGGGGCCTCTCCTCTCCGTGTGGCGTGGCTGGCTCTCTACCACGGTCCAGCCACTGCGTGAGATCTTCTGGGCCGGCCGAGAAAGCCCAAGGATTTCGCACGGCGTCTGCACGACCGCCCCTGTTCCTTGCTTCATCATGGAGGGAAGGATCGCGTGGCCATTTCGACTCGGTCACGCCGAATCATGATGAGGCCACTGACGCGCAGATACGCCCATCCTGAGCTTTGACATGATCAGACCCATTCGCATACACTCACCCGTACGACTTAGACTCATTCACACTCCGACTCATTCACAATTAGATTCACTCCTAGTCTGTCGATGCTCAAGCCTGTTTATAGTCAAAACAAATTGCGCCTAGGCTCTCACGGGTGAAAAGGTCTCTGCAAATAGGTGCACACATGTGGAGCCCCACGCGGTAAATCCTACATTTACTGGGACCGTCATCGGGACCCTGGACCGTCATCGGGCTCTGGGGCCCGTCATCGGGCCCCGGGACCGTGAAACATTTTTACTCAACGGCGAGGCAGAAATGCTGCTCCAGCGGGCGGCGATCCAGGGACCGATACGCGAATTGGCCGGCCTGCAAGAGGAAAAAGGGGGGAACAGGGCGGCCGCGGAGGAGGGGGAGGAGGGGGAGGAGGAGGAGGAGGAGGAGGAGGAGGAGGAGGAGGAGGAGGAGGAAGGAGGAGGAGGAGGAGGCCACTCCGCACATGGATCCGGCACGAAAGACTGGCCCTGGGAAGGGGTCGGGAGCTCCAGGGTCGCGGATTCACGACATCAGATCGGAGGACGTCGGCCAAGACGCTGCTCTGCCCATTCGCCGAGCCTCGGCCACGAGCAGGCTGCTGCCCCGACCTCTAGACTCGGGGGCGGCCAAGAGGGGGGGCGCACATCATGGCCAGCGGTGTGCGCGGCCCAGCGGGGGGCCAGGGACGTCTGGAAAGAAGAGGCGCGCGAAATCTGGGAAGACCATGGCCCCCGCCATGACATCCCCCCCCCTGGTCATCACCCCCCTCTTGGCCGCCCCCGATGGACCCGAGGCGCAGCCCGAAGACCGAGAGCCCATCCTGGGCCCAAGGAGTGTGCCCTCTCTCGGGATCCTGGATGTAACACATCCCTCCTCCTCTTCCTCCTCCTCCTCCTCCTCCTCCTCCCCTCCTCCTCCTCCTCCTCCTCCTCCTCCTCCCCCCTCCTCCTCCTCCCCCTCCCCTCCTCCTCCTCCTCCTCCTCCTCCTCCTCATCCTCCTCCTCCTCACATCGCGCCCGAGCGACCGGCACTCCCCGGGACGGCGGCAGGACGTGGGCACACCTGGGGCACATCCTGGGCCCCCAGGTGTGCCCCCTTTCGGACTTCTAGAGCCCCTCCTGAGGCTGGAGCCCCCTGTGGGCACAGTCTCAAAGGACTGGAGCCCCCATGTGGGCGTGGCTTAATGGGGGGGTCACAAATGGGGGGGGTCAGAAAAGGTCCCCTTTCGTGCCCCTTTCGGGCCCCTCCAGAGCCCCAGGGGGCTCGTTTGGGTACCGTTTGGGTACCTTTTCGGACCACGCTCGCCACCCCCCCATTTATGACCCCCCCAGTACGCGGCGCCCAAAAGGTGCCTTCTCTCGGCATCCCGGCCGTACAGTCGACCCGTATCACGAGGGTGCGCGGTGAGGAGGCAAGGGCCCTGGAGGGCCACGTTGGCGTTTCTCGAGGGAGGCTGGCCAGCGAGTCGCCGAGGATGGGCCGAAGGGGCAAGAATGCAAGGGTACCCTATGGAAGGTTGCCTATCCTTACTATGAGGGTTGACTGTAACATTACATGACGCCCGAGGGACCAGCACTCCGAGACTACGGCAGGTTGTTGACACACTTGGGCACATAATTGAGCAAGGATCTCGGCGAGAGCCGGCGGGCCAAGAAGGCAGATCGTCGCCGCGTTGGCACCAAAGCGCTCTTGAGGAAAACACATCCCAACCCCACCTTTAGCCAGGACACCCACTCAAGACCTGGTGATCCAGGGAGTTCTTGGCTGGCCCACCGGCCCTAAAACAAACACCCCACACCCAGCCAAGACCCCGTGGATCACCAGGTCGGGCGTGGGGTCCCGGCTGGGGGTTGGGTTGGGTTGTGCGGTCCCCTGCTCGGGCATGCTCTGTGTCGCAGCTACAGTCCGTTGCATGATGCGACGTTGCACGATCTTCCCCCAAACAATACTGATGCCACCCTGAATTGGCGAATCATTTGACCGTCGACGCCCGAGGTGCTATCAAGAGCCTCCTCGACAACTGGACAGATGGGCTCTCTGCAAACCGCAGTGCTCTGACAGAGCATCAGTATCGCATCGTTGGCCTGCCATCCCTGCTTGAGACTGCTGCGAAGAGTCGCCAGCAGATCGCAAGTCAAACCTAAATTCCAACATCGGTCATGACGGGCCTTGGCTCGAACGGCACTTACGAGCCCCAGCAACATCTTTGAGGCGGCCTGGGCCTGGTGGGAGCACGTCGTCCGAGCTCAAGGCAACTCACAAGAGTCGTCTGCGATGCCTGTACGATGTGCCCCCCCCCCCTCCCCCCGGATAGGGGCACGAGGTGCGTGCACGGGTCCGCTGCGCAGCCAGGCACGCAGTCGATGGATGGCGGCGACCGAGGAGACGCCGTCTCCTGAACGGACTGGGCCAATCCGAGCTCTCGTGCGTCGACCCACTGGCTGCAGCACACGCCCAGCAGCTCCCCCCCCGATGTTCCCGAACTGGCACTTCTCCGAGCGCGGAGATGGCACACGACCAGCGCGCAGAATTCAGAATTCGACCCACACGGCATCAGGCAGGCGCGCGATGGTGTTGGATGTTCGTTTGAAGAGCTTCCTGGAGCCACTCGCTTCACTCATGCGACGATACTGCGTCGAACGTCCGTCGAATTGTGTCGGACTGGAATCGAACCTGGGTCGACCTTACCTCAAATACTGAAACGGACAGATCCGTCAGGCAGACCCCAGGGAGGTCCCCGAAACGAGCACCTGACAGATGCATCACAGAACCCCGCACGTTTCCCTGAGATCTGACGTCAAGAAACAAATACAGCATCGTCAAACAACAACTTGACCAGAGTCCTGGACCCCATCTCTCTGCGGCAACTGTCGAGTCGGATCGATTCGTGTGGGTCCTTGGGCCCGAAGCAAGGCAGCATCGCTAATTATGGTCACACTATACCTACACATCCGACGTCGTGATTGTTCCACAATCTGGCTCCCCAGAACTCTGGCCTCTTTCTCCAGGACCAGCTTTTCATCCTGGATCGTTTCCTTTTGAACTTTTGAGCGCCCAAAAACGGGTACGGAACAAAAATGGGCACACTGCCAAAGAACGAGTGGCATCCAAAAACCGACAGCGGCCGCCGTTGGGTAGGCTGCCTTCTGTCTCGAATGGGCAGCCTCCGCGGCGGCGCGGGCAGCGAGCCCTGCTCCAAGTGAGCAGGAACTGCAGCGGTGCGGTGACAGACCGTGCGGTGACCTCGAAATCCCCCAAGACCTCACCGCACGGTCCGTCACCGCACGGTCTTGGGAAACCCGGAGGCCCCCGCCGCCCGAGACATCCTCGGAGAACGACCCGAGTCCCAAAACCGTGCGGCGACCCCGAATCCCCACCGACTCACCGCACGGCGCGGTCACCAACCACCCCGTGTGGGGGCCCCCCGGCTGACGGGGCCCCGCGAGGGGCCCCCGAGGCGGACACCTGGCAGAAGCCCTCCGCGGGGACGCCTGCGCGGCGCGAGGGCGACTGGGCACCCCGGGCGGCCCGACGTGCCGAGCGGAGCGCGGGCGCGCGGGCGCGCGGCGCGCGGCGCGGGCGCGAGCCGCCGCGGCCTTGTCGTGCCGCGCCAGCTGGAGGACGCGGCCGCCCTTCTCGTCCAGGACGGCCTGCGCGGAGGCGGGTCTCGGGCGGGGGGGGCTCTCCGAGGAGCCGCCCTCCTGGCCCCGGATCCGGGGCTCCCGCTGGGCAGTGCTTCCCGTTTTTTCGTTGTCGTCGTCGTCGCTTCCCCTCGTGCTGTCCTCGTTCCGCCCCTGCTGCGAGGCGAGGTCAAAAGCTGTACGCGAGATCGCCGAAACGCCGGTTAGCCCGAGCCCTGCCTCGATTCTTCAATACGTGCACACGCATGGGCAGGCCGCGCTGATGGACATCAGGCGCCTGGGCAGTGGCCCCACGCAGACAAGAGGGCCACCTTGGGAGGACGCGCCGGATCCTCCGCGGAGAATCAGCAAAGGCCAGCACGGGCTGTGGAGGGGAGCTGGGAGGACGTGGGGGAAGACGAAGGCAGGAGGGAGGGAGGGAGGGAGGGAGGGAGGGAGGGAGGGAGGGAGGAGGAGGAGGAGGAGGAGGAGGAGGAGGAGGAGGAGGAGGAGACGCCTGGGAGGAATAAAAGGCTGCATAAACATATAACTCGGCACGGATCTCTCGGAGCGGCGACTGGCCGCCGCCCGTGGCACTCCCAGTGCGGCAAGGAGGGGGGTCCGGCGCGGATCCAAGACGTCCGCGCGGGCCTCCAGAAGGCTATGCGCATGCCATGCGTATGATGTTGCTTCACATCAGGAGACTGGGGCCTGGACAGAAGGTCGGCGGCGAGCGAGGGGGGGAAATGAGAAGGAGTAGGCCTTCTCGGAGGGCGGCGGAACTTCTCAGAGGCCCTCGCACCTTCTGAGAAGTTTTTGTCTGTCTTCGGGGAAGGCTTTTAACGAACTCCTCAGAAGGCCCTTGGGGCTTCCGAACCTTCTGAGCAGGCCTTCTCCTTCTCACTTCCCCCCTCGCTCGCCGCCGAGTTGTTTCACATTGGGAGACTGGGGCCTGGGCAGAAGGGACATCGTGCACGTGTTGAACGACGCCAAGGCGGTCGAGCGGTCTCTCGGACGGGGTCGACGTGGCCCGAGCTGCCGCGGAAGCGGTGGGGTGCACGGTGTCCGGCCGAGGCCTGGCGACGGTGGGGCTCGAGGCGCACCACCAGCTGCTACGGAGCTTCCAGGCAGCAAGCGGCCTTCGCTGCCACTCGGGCTGCGCAAGTGGACTCTGGATGCGAAGGCGTCGTGGTCCAAACGGTTGTGTTCGCGGAATGCGGCGGAAGCATAGCGAGCTGAGCACAGGCTTAGGTCCACGGGTACGCCTGGTGCACAGCAGGAACAGACACCTAGCCACGGCAACACAAACGCGAGCCGCATCTGGAGGAGCAACGCAACACACACTGCATTCTGAGGTCCGCGCAGGTTTAGGCCCGGCGCCGATCCAAGAGATCTGCGCGGACCCCCGAAAATCACTGGGACCAGAGCAGACGGGGCTTGAAGATGCCACCGCGTCAAGACAGACAGACAAACTGTCCTGGGGATCTCGTGTCTGGATGCTGGAGGCGGCCAGGAGGTTGAGAGCTGGCTGGGCCCCGAGAAAATTTGTCGATAAGGAGGGATGAAGGCATGTCCGCTCAAAATCGGTCCTCAGACCCCTCCCAGGGTCCATCTTTGGAGTCCCGAAATGGTGCGGTGACAGACCGTGTGGTGACCTCGAAATCCCCCAAGACCTCACCGCACGGTCTTGGGAAACCCGGAGGCCCCCGTCGCCCGAGACAACCTCGGAGAACGACCCGAGTCCCAAAACCGTGCGGTGACCCCGAATCCCCACCGACTCACCGCACGGTGTGGTCACCACCCCGTTTGGGGGCCCCAGACCATCTGGTGCTGCGAGGTTGGTCACCCCGGATCCGTGTTCGACGCTCCTGGGGCCCGAAAACAAAGCGGCCCCCTCTGACTGACTGCCTGAAGCCTTGCGCCCAGAAGACGCCTGGGCAAGACTGCGCGCGTGGCAACCGGCGGCGAGAACAACCGACTCGACCATGCGACAGACCTGGGCCGGCAACACCGGGCGGACAACAGGAGGGAAGGGGAGGAGGGCGGCGAGGGGGGGCAGGAGAGCCAAAAATCGAATCGACAAGTCGGATCGGAAGTCGACATGAATCGGATCGGCGGAAATCGGCAGCCGAGTCGGGAAAAGTCGAATCGGCGGGCATCGGCAGGCTGGTGTGCGTCCAATGAGAAATCGGAACCGAAATCCGAATCCCAAGTGGAATCGAATCGGAATGGGAATCCATCGAAATCGAATCGAATCGGAGGAATCGAAACGAGCCCTGGGGGGGGGGCAAACGAGTGACGCTCAGAGACACGCGCGCACAATCAGAACTGCCCCCCGGAGACCGAACAAAGGCAGAACACGCCCTCCCGCACCCCGGGGCCTCGGGCCTTCGCCCACCTCTCGCCTGCTTGCCGGCACTGGTGCCGGGCCACCTCGGACCTCCAGCCAGAAGTGACTACCTACCAGACCACCCCAACCCAACCCGAAGACCCGAAGTTCGGGTTGGGGGGGATAAGGGTTCCACCCGTGTTTTTTCAATGTTCCCCGACCCTCCCCCCCACTGGAAATGGAGGCCAAATTGAGGCCTTCGGGTTGGGTTGGGGTGGTTTGGTGGGTGGTGAAGAAGCTGGAGAGGCCTTCCGCGCGGTGTCAGAGCAGGTGGCGTCGGAGGCTCGCGCCGCATCACCGATGCATCACCGATGCATCGGCGATGCATCGGCGATGCATCGGCGACATCGGCGATGCATCGGCGACGTCGGCCTCGAGGAAGACGAGATCCACATCGAGCCGCATCGCCGATGCGTCGGCGATGCGGAGCGATCCTTCGACCCATCTACGGCTGGACCCAGGACAGAAGAACATCCTTCAAGAACATGAGACCCTCCGCCGGCCAGAACTGAGGAGCATTCGAGGGTACCCTCCCACAGGATGCACAAGCACAGTCAACAAGCACGAAAAACATTAGGGAACATCATGGCACCCTCCCCGAACCGACCTCGATCTTCTACCTCGGGCCGACCGCAAACGATTGGGCCGTGGTCGGGGCGAAATGGGGGGGCCTTCCCAGAGCAACGGAGGGCTGCTTGGAGCAGCGGACCGGCCCCCTCCTGGGGCGTGCGCGCACAGTCCTCGTGCCACGATGTGGAACGCCTACCCATCGGTCGGAAGAGGTAAGTAGAAACATGAAGTCGGAAGGTGTTGAAAACAGGTTGGGTTTCCGCCCGCCCCCTAAAACGGACGGAAAAGATGAAGCCAGTCGATCATTGAGGTAAGAAGGCGCATAATTCGGGGATGGACAGACCTCCCTTTGGTAAAACGTGGTTTAGTGAAAAACAACCTGAGGCCCAAACCTGGCGGGCGCAAGCCTGGAAAATAACGGCCGCGGCGCCCTCTCGAGAACCGAAAACGGACAATTCACTAATCGACGTGTCACTGTTGGGGGTTCTGTCCACCCCCGAATAATGTAGATTGGAATCAAGCGGCCCGAGCCCGACCCCCCCCCCCCCCCGAAAGCGGTCCCTGTTCCGGCGCCTTGGCTGCGGGCCTCTGGCACCCCATCGGGAGGCCGAGACCAGCCGACGCCTCGCCATCGCTCGGACGTCCATTCCCTGTGTGTGTGTGTGTTTTTGCCCGGGAAACAACCGTGCTCCTCGATGGTCCTCGCCGTTAAACAGTGCACGCGTCCGAGCGATGCCGAGACTCCATTCTGATGGTGGCCTGTAGGGACGCGCAAAGCGTCGACGACACAGGCTCTTCGAATGCCACCCCCGCGCGCCAGGGGCGCCGCCCAGATTGATGTGGAGTGTGGAGAGGGGGCCCAGGGCTGACCCAAGAGACTCGAGCGGACCTTTGGTGAACGTTTTCTTATTCGGCGTTTCGACACTGGGCCGGAGGAGGGGTGGGGGGCTGGCTCCGGACCTTGACGGCGAGCGGGAATAAGATCCAATATGAGGAGAAAAAATACTAGAGCTCTAACGAATGGCTGAGTTTCGAGAAATTCAATTTGCTTAGGGCGGCTGTTTGCAGCAGTACGCCCCAGGGGGGGGAGATCCCACCTGCTCGAAACAGGCGCCCAAAGCAGCCAAGGTCTACTCCATGGGGGGAGGGGAGGGAGGCGTGCGACGGCCCGCGCCAATCGGCAAAACGATGGACAAGACACGATCCCTTGGGAGCTCCTCCTCCTCCTCCTCCTCATCCTCATCCTATTCCTCCTCCTCCTCTCCCCCCTCCTCCTCCTCCTCCTCCTCCTCCTCCTCCTCCTCCTCCTCCTCCTCCTCCTCCTCCTCCTCCTCCTCCTCCTCCTCCTCTTCGATGGTCGACTCCTGGAATCGAAGCGGGCCGGCCGCAGTGGCCAGCGGATCGGACTGGACCGGGCCCGCGCGGACCCTGCACGGATGAAGAGTCTGCCTTCACCCCGATCGTCGCCCTGCTAGAAGAGAGGCACGGCGGAGGGCTGGTCCGAGTCGACATCGAGCCGGACAGATCGGATCGACATTAGGGGAAGACGCACTGGCACGGGCATGAACTTTCGGAGCTCCGCGCGGATTTCTTTTGGATCGCTGGGTCCCCCTGCCCGTCGCGCGCAGCGTGGTAGCACCAAGAGGCACAACGCCAAGCCGAGAAATCCGTGCAGATCTTTGAGAAGATACGTTGCTGCTTTTTTCCTCCTCCAGGAATGGACCCTGGACGATCCAATCGAATTGGATCGGACGAGATCGGATCAATCCGATCAAAACTGGGGAAACACAATGGTTCCGATACCGCTACTCCCAGGACCTGTCCCAGGATGCGTTCTGACCAGAATTTCGAAGCGAATCTAGCCGTGGCGTCACAAGCCTCCAAGGAGGCCCAAGAAGGCGAAAACGACGGAAGCGCAGCGGTATCGGTACCTTGTTTTCCTCTGACGTAAAGGCCTCCCAGATGTGGTCGGAGGGTCGCGCCGCACCGCCGATGCACCAGCGATGTATCGGCGATGCATGGGCGATGTCGGCGATGAATCGGCGCCGTCGACGTGGAAAAATCTCGCTCCTCAGCGAACATCATGGCCGATGGCAGCATCGCCGATGCACCGACAGTGCGGCGCGATCCTTGACCCCTTGCTCCCACCAGCTCCACCCCCAGTAGAGAGGCCCAGAGGTATCTGTACCATCTCCTCCACCCAGGGTCGAATCGGATCGACGTGGGCCCAGGGAAAGCAAGAGTGCACAAATCCCCGGGCGGTGTTCCTTCTCATCGTCCTCGTCCTCCCTGCCGTGATCCTCGCCCTCGTCCCCGCCGTCCTCGCTCCCCTCGCCCCTTTCGCCCTCCTCCCCTTCGTCTCTCGTCCTCGTGGTCGTCTTCCTCGTCCTCGTCCTGATCGCCATCCTCGGCCTCGTCCCGCCTCCCCTTCGTCTCTCGTCCTCGTGGTCGTCTTCCTCGTCCTCGTCCTGATCGCCATCCTGGGCCTCGTCCTCGTCCTCGTCCTCCTCGTCGTCGTCGCCGCCGTCGTCGTGGTCGTCGTCGTGGTCGTCGTCGGCGTAGGTTAGGAGGAGGGGGAGGGGGAGGAGGAGGAGGAGGAGGAGGAGGAGGAGGAGGAGGAGGAGGAGGAGGAGGTCCCCGCGCCGCAGACGGCGCGCGCGGCGGTAGATCTGGCCGCGCCTGCACCTCGCCGCCGATGCGCCGCTCCACCTGCCCCCCCAGAGGCGTCGGCCCTCCCCGCGCGGCCCCCACAGGGCGAGGGCAGGAGAAGACGAGGACGAGGACGAGGACGAGGACGACGAGGAGGACGAGGACGAGGACGAGGACGACGACGAGGACGACGAGGACGAGGACGAGGACGACGAGGAGGACGACGACGAGGACGACGAGGACGACGAGGACGACGAGGACGAGGACGAGGACGACGAGGACGACGAGGAGGACGACGAGGACGAGGACGAGGACGAGGACGACGAGGACGACGAAGAAGATGATGCTGGATTCTGCAGCAGCACACCCGTGTAATACGGACGCGGAATGAAGATGCAAGGGCCGAGGAAAAAGGCAATACCGACACTTTGCGAGCGGGGCGCGGCCAGCGAAAGCGGCCAAGGATGGGCCGAAGGGGGAAGCACGCAGCAAGGGTAAGGTTGGACAGTTGCTCATCCACACTATGCGGGTATCCTGTCCGCCGACCCCGTTGGGGTCTCCAGGCGTGTGAGATTGTTCTCCCAGCCCTTACCCCCCCCGCAAGGGTCCCGAACTCGCTGGAAAAAGTTCGTTGCGAACTTTGCCCGGCTGACAATGGGGCCGCATTGCCGAACGGGCCGTCGGCGACGGGTGGGATCCCAACATTCCCGAATCGCCACTGTCGGCAATTTGACAATGGGGCCCCAGTGCCAAAAGGGCCATCAGCGACGGGTGGGACCCCAACTCCCACGATTGGCAATTTGACAGTGGGGCCCATTGTCAAACGGGCCATCGGCGATGGGTGGGGTGCGATTCCAGCGCGCCCAATTGGCTATTTGACAGTGGGGTGCCACTGTCAAATTGGCAATCGGCGACGGGCGGGGTGGGCTTTCAGCGCTTCCGGCTGGCAATTTGACAACGGGGCCTCATTGTCACATGGCCAATCGGCGATGCGCGGGGCGGGGTGGGACACATCCCCGATGCGAAATTGTATTAATGTTGTCTGAAAAAGGCACGACGGACAATCGCGCGAGAAGTAAATCTGGGAAAGATGTTTTCTGTAGGGCGTCACGCGAGCAGCAATCCACGGCCGCGCGATGGTGGTCGGCCATGGGTTTCCCCAGGAGAGAGCTTATCCTAAATGGGTTACGTACTATGAATTTTGCAGCGCGGAGTACCTGGGAAGCTCTCCCGCCCAGCCTTGCCGATGGTTGTCGCGCTCGGAACCTACGCGGGAAAAGGGGACCCGGCTCGGTGACGTCTGAATCGTCAATGATCAAGATGAAACATTTTCGTAGCGGGCATGTAAGGATGCCGAGGGCCACGCTGCATCAAAACTACAATTAACACACTGCACCACCGCCTTGAGATGAGCATGAAAACGACGATGACGAGGAATCTGAAGCGTCCCATGCAGAGCGATTGCAATTTGAGCGGGTCCAAGTCGGAGTGATGTCCCGGCTTCTTTTGCGTGGGACGGAATGATCATCACAACACTGTAGGTCTACATCATGATACCAGAACCCTGCGCGCGCTTCGCGCGGTTGGGTCCTACCCAGGCACAAGCATCGGATGCGTCGCGAAGCGAATGAGGTCGGGAGCGGTTGCAGGAAAAGCGGTGGATAACTGATGACTCACTGAGGACCGCCAGGCATATAATCCACCCACTGGCACTCGTAACCATCGGCCCTCTCGATGAGCGGGAATGGAAGAACTGAGAATCATCCCCGAACCTTGATCGTCGAGTCACTCCGCTGCACCCCCCCAGCAGCCCTCGAAAGTGGCGACAGTTTCGCAGATCGCAGCCCCTCAGGGATGGCTAGGCAGGAGGCAAGCTGGCACGCAGAAAGGAGCAGGGAAGGAGAAGACGCGCGGGCAATGTTCTGTCCAAAACGAGTACCCAACGCAGAAGGGTTGGGAAAAACTGCCTCCAAGACGCCCCCGAGACGCCCCCCATGAGACCCCATCAGCCATCCGAATGGCCTCAGACCCGCAACCCAAGCACGGTCGCGGGTCCAAGCACTGTGCCATAGGACATTCGATATTCAATCGTCGGGTGTTTTGACAGATGCCCTCTGTCTGTATACGCGGGTTCTCGCCCCATTCCCCATGCGTGCACCGCGAATACTGAGAATGTCAGCCCAAGAGGCCCCGAAAAGGCCCCCAAGAGGCCCCGATGATGCCCCAAAAGAGCTCCGAGAAACCCCCAAAAGGTGCACAAAAGCCCTCAGGAGCAGCACGCAACAACCGCCAGTTCCCCAAGGGGTCGGCGGTGTGGCGTAAGCCCAAGAATCCACGTCCAGAAATGACGTGTTGCCGGAGGCAGGTCCGCGGATGATGTATTGCAACGTGTCCGATGTATCCAATGACTGCACAATTGCAGCGTATCCGAATTGGTACAGATTGCATTGTGTTACTACATTATCATATCTCCCCCTGACTCTCCCATGGAGCCGCGCCACAGCGCCGTACCAAAGGTGGAGGCCCTCACTCTGGGGCTCAAAACATATAAATATCAATGGCAACTCAACACATTCGGCCTCTTGAGGTTTCAATGTTGTTTTTGTTTCCAAGGGGGCCTCAAGATGGCCCAAGATGGCCCCAAGACGACCCAAGAAGGCCCCAAGACGACCCAAGATGGCCCCAAGAGGGCCCATGAGGTTCCCAAGACGGCCCCAGAGGGCCCCAGAGGGACCCAAGAGGACCCCCGAGAGTACCTCCAGAGGCCAATGTCATTGTGTTTCCTCAGGTGTTTGAAAGATTTTAGCGTTCTCGTCTTTTTCTATCCTTAGAGGTCCTTGACGGCCCAAGCAGCCTCCAAAATGGTCCCACGACGGCCCCAGAGACCCTCAAGAGGACCCCACGCCGGCCCAGGAGGGCCCCAAGACGGCCCAAAGAGGCCCCCAAGACTGCCCAAGAGGACTCCAAGAGAGCCCCATGGCAGCCGCGAGAGGCCCACAGGATGGCCTCCGAAAGAGCCAAACGGCGCAAGAGCGCCGCAAGACGGCCCAAGGCGCCTCCAAGAGGCCCAACGAGGCCCCAAAGAAGCCCCCGAGAGGCCCCAAGAAGCCCACAAGAGGTTTCCAAGAGGCCCCAAAGAGGCTTCCACCAGGCCCCACAACTTCTGGACTGCACGTGCTCCGGACGTGCACCCCGCGAAGCGAGAGGAAGAAGTAGAACTCGCGCATATCGAGAGACCTACGCAAGACGGCTCGCACCATGCGAGTTATAATTCACATGGGGTCTTCTGACATGCGGAGCGTGAAGCAACACGTTAGCTGGAGCGCTCGCAACAGTCGGAGCCTCAATCTGCACCTGGTGGCAACGCACTCCGTACTGTTCGGCCCCTGGGGCGCTGGTGCTTGTGTTGGGATGGCCCGTCGCCGTATGAATTACTTTTTCGATTCCTGAGGCTCTCGGCTTCTGATGGCCAACCTTTCACCGCTGCAAAGGCCATAAATTCGAGGGAGAGGTACAGGAACAAGAACCAGATCACAAACGAAAGCTGAACAGAGCCCACTTCCAGCGTAATTAAACCCTTGGGCCGAAGGCCCCAGTTAAACATGTCAAGGAACACCCTGCGTTTCTCGGTAAGGGAGAGAGGATTAGAAATGGAATCTCAACTAACGTAACTAGTCGAGCTTCCCAGAACATCCCGCCATCTCCACACATCCCACACCGAAGCTCTTCACGACACAACAACTGATGAGCAAAGTCGGCCCACCCCCGCGAAATATGGACTCTGGATCCGATTGGCGTGAAGTCGGGCCTGTCCCTCTACCGGAGGAATGCTCCAACATAGGTTTGAAAAGAAAATATATGGGGACGATGTTTGGAGCATGTTTGACAATGTTTGATAATCTTTTTGGCTGTTTTACCTGTCGTCCAAACAATCCGCCTGTAGGGGGGCACGTTCGACCTAAGATTGGCGTTATGTTGCTCCCATCGCACTTAAAGACCACATCCCAGAAATTCGCCGGCCCAACAGGCCGAAGGCGTGCTGAGATCTCCGGTAACTGGTTAACAATATTTCTAGTTCGCGCGCGCGGGGCGCCCCTGGATCAAAAGTACCTCGAGAGGAGCCCGAGAGGGTCCAGGGAGGAGTCCGGGAGGGTCCTGGGAGACTCCCCCGGGGCCCTCTGGAGCGCGCCAAGAGTGCCCCAAGAAGAGGCCCCCAAGACTGCCCAAAGGGCCCCCGAGACGCGCAAAGAGCGCGCCAAGACGCCGATGATGACCCCAAGACGGCCCAAGAGGCCTCCAAGTGGCCTCCAAGAGGCCTCACAAGAGGGCCCCGAGAGGCCAAAATCATACATTCTACTATGATTTTAGAAGGATTTGGGCCGTGTCCCCTTCTCGGCCATCCGATGCTCCAAGACGGCCCAAGAGGCCCCCAAGAGCGCCCCAAGACGGGCCAAGAGGCTTCAAAGAGGGCCCCAAGAGGGCCCAAGAGGGCCCCGAGACGGCCCAAGAGGCGCCCAAGACGGCCCCAAGAGGGGGACCACGAACCGAAACCTCGCGCCTTCCGCCCCAAGAAGGCCCCAGGAGGCCCCGAGAGGCCTCCAAGAGGCCCCAAGATGCCGCCTAAAGGCCCCAGGAGGCCCCCAGCAGGCCCCCCAGAAGGCTTCAAAAATGCCTCCCAGGCGCCCCCGAACGGCTTCTCAAAAGACCCCAAGAGTCCTCCCAAAGAAGCAGCTTGACGACGACCCTGTTTGGCCCCAAGAACAACACAAGATGCCAACGAGAAGCTTCCTCCTCCGCCCCTTCCTCTTCCTCCTCCTCCTCCTCCTCATCCTCCTCCTCCTCCTACTTATCTTCCTCCTCCTCCTCCTCTCCTTCTCATCCTCTCCTCCTCCTCCACTCCCCTTCCCCATCCTCATCTTCTTCCTCCTCGGCGGCGCCACAATGGCCCCGGGCCCACGGCGAAGCAGTAGCGATCATGCAACATGGGCCGGCGGAGTGAGCGAAGCGATTGAATAATTTCGAGAACCCGGAACAGTGTCGAAAGAGTGTCGAACGAGTGTCGAAGCAGTGTCGGACGAGTGTCTCCCAGGGCCCGACGCGTGAACATCCTCGAGTCTCGGCACCTTTCTCTGGTGCTCGACCTTCTCTCTGGCGCTCAAGGCCAAAGCAGGCTGGAACACCATGAGGTCGGGGACGATCTTTGGAGCATGTTTGACAATGTTTGATCATCTGTGTGGGTATGTTTTTTTTGCATCAACAGTGCCCTGGAACCTGCGGCCCGCGAGTGAAAACCGAAACTGAATAGGCAGGGACTGGCTGTCCGCCCAGACATCGGCAGCGAACGATTGAACACCAGTCGAACGATCCGTTGTTGTGCAGAGTCTGCGTAGGCTTGTCCAACATGTCAACGCTCTCCTCCATAGTCCTGGCGAATAGCAGCAAGTCGTCTGCGAAACGACTGGTGTTCAATCTGTTTGGGTATGTTTTTTCTGTCGTCCAAAGAAATCAGCCTGTAGGGGGGCACGCCTAACCTGCGGTTGGCGCCTCGAGTGCCCCCCCCCCCCGTGGGGGGCGGCCTCGAGCGCCGCGCCCGGCGACGAGGCGGCCCCGCGCAGCCCGAGGCCGCCCGCACCGCTCGCACGGCCTCCCGGCACCGCTCGCACGGCGAGCCCGCCGTTTGCCGAGGCGGCGCCTCGGCTCCCTGCCTCGAGCAGGGGCCGACCGGCCCTCTCTTCGCCAGCCGAGCACTGATGTGCGTGTTCAGAGCGTCTGCGAGGGTCCCGTTGCCATCTTGGCTCAGGAGCTCTACAGAGGGTTCCCGCGGCGATCCACCTGGTCTCCTCCCCCCTCGGGATCTGGAGGCTGGGGGCTCCCGTCGGGCCTTCGTCTCGAGCGGCATCGTGTCGACACGGCAGTCCTACAGCCCTACCACGAGCTGTTCCTGGAGCCCCAAACATGTTCTCCGGACAAGAACCATGCGTTCTCAGAACAGAGGCCCGAGGTGAGAAAGCACGACGGGCTCCGCCAGACATGGTCTAAGAACATTTCGGCGGTCGGTGGACAAACCTCCCTTTAGTAAACCTCCCCGGAATGAAAACGGCCTGGGACCGAAACCGACGGACCTGGACCCGCAAAAATGACGGCCGCGACGCCCTCTCGCGAACCGAAAACGGCCAATTCCTCAATCGACGTGTCAGGGTAGGAGGCCTGTCCAACCCCGAACATTTCCCGACCGTCCGTCGTCCGACCGTCCCGGCATTCCTACAGCCCTACCACGAGCTGCTCCTGGAGCCCCAGACACGATCTACGGACAAGAACCATATGTTCTCAGAGCAGAGGCCCGAGGTGCGAAAGCACGACGGGCTCCGCCGGACGTGTTCTGAGAACAGCTCGTGGGAACCACGAAAGGTTCTTAGAACATTGTCTGGTAGGGCCTGTCGGCGAGCCAGGACGCCTCGCCACTGTCGGGTCGGGCGAAAGGGGGGAATAGCGAAGGGGGGGTCTGAGAATCAGCTCACGTAGCTGAGTTTCCCGGCGCCTCCCGGCGCCGGAGGCGGCCATGTATCGAGGAATGGGCCCCTCGGTGAGGCCGAAACCAGCTGCATGCAGCAAATTTCGCACCCCCCCTTTCCCAATCCCCCCCTTTCGCCCGGCCCGACACTGCCTGGCGCACGGCGAGCGCCTGCCTTGCCGAGGCGGCGCCTCGGCGCCACGCCTGCGCCCGCCTGCCAGAAGCCGCCCCAGCCCGACCCGAAGAGCCGCACCCTGCCCGAGCTTTTCGGGCTGGGAGGGGGGGACTTACGGCAAGTTCGTGTCGTGACGACCTCGGCGTTGGTTTTTGACACCGCGTGGATCGTTCAACCTTGAACGATCGGCGGCTTTTCGATCGCCCGATCGTTCCATATAGGCCGATTCTGGGCCACTGGCGGCGTTCAACCTTGAACGCCCGCGGCGGGGTCGCCGATGGTCGACACGACGCAAACCTACCGTACCAGCCTGGAACACATCCCTATCCCTATGCTGGGCACCTCCTCATCACGACGCCAGTCTTAGGGATTCCCCCATGTTTTGAGGGCGCGACTCCCTAAGATTGTCATCGCCTTTTGGCGTGTCAATCTTCGGGATAGGGATACGTTCGAGGCTGGTAAGGGTACGGGTTCCAGATGTGTCTTTGCCAGTGCTCCCCGCCCCCCCCCGCCCACTAGAAGTAGAGGGCAGATCGGGGCCTTCGGGCTGGGTTGGGGGTGGTCTGGTGGGCGGTGAGGCTGCACCGGCGGATGGGATGGCACGGGAGGGGGGGGGAGGGGAAGGCGAGATCCGGCACGCGCTTCCTCCCCCCGCCCTCCAGAGAGCTCCTGCCAGCACAGCCGGCGGCAGCCAGGGGGGTGCCCTCCCCAGACGTTTCCGAGCCACTATCGCCTTGAGGCCTCCGATTCCTGCCACCAGGGCCTGGCCCCTGCAAACGCTCCGACGTCCTGGGCTGCGGCGTCTCGGGGATGGACAGACCCCCCTTTAGTGGAACGTGGTTTATTGAAAACGACCTGAGGCCCAAACCTGGTGGGCGCAAGCCTGGAAAATAACGGCCACGGCGCCCTCTCGAGAACCGCAAACGGACAATTCACTAATCGACGTGTCACTGTTGGGGGTTCTGCCCACCCCCGAGCGTCGGCCGGCGCGCCCGCAGCGCAGCGGCCTTCGACAGCCCGGCCTGGAAGGCTCGCGCAGTATCGCGGGGCTCGACATGCGCAGCAGCTGTGATCTGGGTGGCCACGCCTCCGCGCTCGACAGTCGGGCGCCCGATGGAGCTTTGGGTGACTCAAAAGGGGGTCCAGCTGAACAGGGGTGGTGCAATAGATTTCGAGCAATCGTATTGCAAATTTACTGCGCCGGAGAATTGTATTGCATTGTATTGCAAGTAATGTATTGCACGCGGAAATCCAGCAATACATTTGCACCCCGGAATGTATTGCACGCCCCAAATGTATTGCAACCCCACAAATCGATTGCACCAAATCTATTGCACCACCCCCTTGTCGCTGGACCCCCTTCTTGGTCAACCCGAGGAGCGCCCAAGCCAAGCAAAAACCCGCCGGAAGGATGACGGCAATGCTGAATATACCCACCCCAAACAACATCGTCGCTGTCGGATATTGAATAGAGAGCAGAAAATCCACCCCGATGATAACCATCCCGACACGCGAAGCCGTTTAGCAAACGCGCCCCAAGAAGGAATCAAACAGGGCAGGGCTGTTCAGTAAACGCCCAGGGCCGTTTAGTAAACGCCACTTGCCCGCTCCGGCTGTTTTTTCCTCCCTTGATTAAAGGACGACAAATTCCTGAGACAACCTGACGGCGATCACCAAAGCTTCGAGCTCACCCATCGGCACCGACTGGCCCCTGCTCGAAACATGGGGGCCCGAAAACGCAGGGCCCGACTCGCAGCAGTGATGGCAACTCCAACGCTCCTGAGGCGAGGTCCCTTGCTGTCGCGACATTCTGGCGCGCCCCAAAAAATGTGCTGCGGCGAGGACTTAGCCCCATGGCCAAGGGCTCCTGGCTCCAACTCTGGTGCGAGACTATCACAAGCTTTCGAGTTGTCGATCTCCTCGGGAGGGGGAACAGCAGTCCAAGCAGCAGGGGTGGCCCCACTGAACCAGAAACACGAAAACAGTACTACCTCCGCCACCGCATCCTCGGACTCGGAACCAAAAACTGCGATCTCGATTCTCGGGACAGGTCCAGCACCCATGGAGTGGAGCCCCCGCTGCCGGAGGGTACCCTGCTTGGACGCATCTCGGGCAATCGTTGCTAGCAACAAGATTGCGAGGCTCCTTCCTCTCCTCCGCTCAACTCCTTCTCAGAAGGTGGCGAGACTCGGGGATGGACAGACCCCCCTTTAGTTAAACGTGGTGAAGTGAAAACGACTTCGGGCCCAAACCTGGCGGGCGCAAGCCTGGAAAATAACGGCCACGGCGCCCTCTCGAGAACCGAAAACGGACAATTCACTAATCGACGTGTCACTGTTGGGGGTTCTGTCCACCCCCGCGAGACTTCTGAAGAGCCCTCGCGCGCCTTCCGAGAAGGCCTTCTCCTCACATCCCCCCCGTCTCGCTCGCCGCCGATGCTCTCGGCCCGCACCCGGCGCGCCCAATCTGCCAGGGTCACAGCTCGAATCAGGGTCGCCTGCCCGCGTTCTTTTTGCTGCACGGGGCGGGGGGTGGTTCCGCGTCGCGCGGCATTCCCGAGTACAGTCGGGGCGTTGACCTAAGGAACGATAAATGAGGAACGGGGCCCCTTTTCTCCATAAGTTAAACTTCGATTTACCATCGGGAACATAAGCAAACCTTCAGCGCCCCGACTGTATAGGGCAAGGGGGAAGTGGCGCACAACGGCTGCACGTCTGGTGGCGCAAAGCACGCACGAGTGCTAGAATGCCTCTCCGCTCTTCCATTCGAGAACCGACACCGAAGGAGCGCAGTTCGACGTGATGCAGCGCACGGCTGTGGTGGGCTGCGCAGACTTGGAAACAAATGGAGGCAGGCACCGGAGATAAGATGGCAAATCGAGATGGGCTGCTCTTCGTGCGCAGAGGAAGGGCATCGAGAGAAGAGGACGGAGGCAGGAAGCGCCGAAGAAGGAGTAGGGGAGGAAACGAGGGAGAAAGGAAAATGCGGCGAAGATAAATGACGCGGCCGCTGATTTACGACACTGCGTGGACCGCGTAGCATTGGACAAATCCGATTCCTGGCTTCTTGCGGCATTGAATTCAACCTTGCGCGCCGGGGGCTAATTTGGCCCCCGCCGCGTCATCGCGGCGCGAACCTACCGAAAAATGTTCGTGGCGTGGACGCCCAAAAACCTCGACTGTTTCCTTCCCTGGCCGGGGGCGCCCACCATTCCCTTTTGAGTCGTCCCGCTGCTTAGAAACGGCCTTCGGGGGCCAGGAAAAAAGGAAACCTGGCCGCGGCGACCTTGTCCGACGCCCGGAACTGAGGAGAAGAGGGACAAAGGAAGACCGCGGACAGTTTGCTGACAAAGAGCGCTGCAATACTATTGTATACCCCTCTGCGTCCGATGAGAAAGAGGGCAGGGTCGGTCAACATCGGACCTCTGAGACTGTATGTCGACCTAGGTAACCTAACATCGCGCCCCGCGACCCGCCATGCGCGACGCGCGAATACCTTCGCGCCCTCGCGCCGCCTCCTCGGCGAAGGGCAACCATTCTGGGTCAGACCGCGACGGCGAAGCGCGATGACGTTTGCGCCCCCGTGGGTGACACAGCGAAGGTTTATGTTCGTTCAATTTGCTCGTGGCCTGTCCGCATTGCCCCCGCCGCCTGCGCCCAAATCAGCGATTGGGGGCCGATGCGAATTCCCCACCGACCCTTTGAAGGGGCCTTGGGACACACACGTAAATACACACAGAGAGACGGATCCCAAATATTTTCCAATCTTTCCTTGGCTTTTGTTTTCCCCACCATTTCCTATATGTTCCCATACCTCCTCCTCCTCCTCCTCCTCCTCCTCGTCCGTATTTTCGGGGGTATCGACGATTCGTTGTGTCTGTGTGCTTCTTCCCTCCTGGCCCTCATCCCCCCAGAGACGCTCCTCGCCTGGCCTCCGAGCCAGACCTCGGGTCTCCCGGCGGCCGCCCCCGCGACGACCCGGGCACGCCCGGGCGCCGCTCGGCCAGGCGCAGCTGCTAGAGAGCACCGCCGCCGCTGGTGTGGGCGGGCGGGGAAATCAAAAAGAATGTAGGCGCCATCGCTGCGGGGCGGCCGCGCCCGCGCGGGCGGCGGCCGCCAAGCGCGCCCCCTCTCCGCGCCGCCCTGCAGCGAGGCTGGAACGCCGCCGAAAACGGACGAGAACGGCAGAAAACCTTCGGACCTCCGAACTCGAGCCTCGAGTGCGAACCTTCGAGCATCGGACTCGAGCCGACCGAAATTCGAACCTTCGAACCTTCGAACCTCGAGCGTGGCCCCGGACACCCGCGGCGCGAGGCCCGGGGGGCGTCCAGGAGGGGGGCTCGCGAACCGTGGCCCGGGGCACGTGCGCGGACTGGGGTGTGTGTGATAAGGATGGCGCGCGCGGCGCGGCAATCTCTGTCGTGTGAGAGCGCTGCTCGATCAAACTGCGCAGCTCTAAGGCCAAGGGCCCTATTCGAGAATAAACGGCGGCGGCAGGGTCTGGGCCGTTCTAGCCTTTCTGGGGAACGTCTTCGGGCATCTCTCTCTTCCTGGGAGTGAGCTTGAATCGCGCTCCTCCTAGTCGCCGCCTAGGGTGCCCGTAGCGGGGACTGAACACAAATCGCTCGCAGCTTCGTTCGGAGCAGAAAAGATTAGCCTTGATAGTCGAGGTAGCGGGAGTGCAAAAGAAAGGGACAACACTTTCCGCAACGCGTTCGCGAGCAAACAGGCTCGCACGGCTTGCGGAGCAAGCAGCCCACGGGGCGATTTAACGGGTGCTCGCGCGCACCTGCAACACACATTCTCGTACAAACGGGCTCTCGGCTCGATATCCTTAATACTGGGCAGTAAGGTAGCAATAAAATATGAAATTCGTGTGGTCGTCACCACTTCTGGAAAATCTGATCACGCTGAACGAAGCTTCTGCAATGCGGAGTTGCGTGTAGATCTGTGGCCAAGGGGGGAAAACTGAATGCAGACCTACGTAAACGGAGCCGCGTGTAAAGTCCCCACTGCAATGCGGACTTACGTGAACGGGGTCGCGACAGGCGACCGTCTGGCAACGGCGGCAGAACATTTACCGGCTCGAACGGTAAAACTGCCACCCAGGCACCGGGCGGCGCTCAGAGACCCTTTGTTGGAAGGTTTTGACGACGGGGTCTTGAGGTCTCTGCCTGTGATCTTCAACCGACGGCTCAGTCGGTCGTTCATCACTGGGCTCGCAAACATGGAAGGTCTGGATCACTCTCGCGGTAAAGGCGTACGAGCCATGATGAGTGCAACTTGCGCGTCTTGCAAGTAGTGTAGACGCTGCGTGTATATGCCCACATATGAAATCATGTCTGCATACCACGGGGCCTATCATCTCGTTCGGCGATGCTGTCGGCGAGGATCAAACGCGAAACCACGCCGGTCGATGATGAGCTCGAAACAGCGGCGATGCTTGGCGATGTGGGAGCTGATGCGCGGCTCGATCTGCGCCCCGGCGCCGGCGCTGACGCCGGCGCTGTCGGCGCGGCGTCGGATGTCGGCGGGTGCTGCGGCAGCGGGGGCTGCGCTGGATAATGTCCGAATGCGACTGCCGATCCCGATGCCGATGAACTCGGCGCCTGTGCGCAGCTGGGCCCATCCGAGGAGCGCGCGAAGAGGTCGCCGTCGTAGTCGCGCCCCTCGGGAAAGGCCGCTGGAATATTGCGGCGCCGGCCGAGGCGCCGCCCATCCCAGGCTGGGTTCTCGCCGTCGACCGCAGCCTTCGCCTCGGCAGAGCGCGGGCCAGACTCGATCGTGTTATTCTGTCTCATGATCGTGCAGGGTCACAAAAATGCCGAAGCCGATGGTGATTCCCGAGAACAGGATGGCCGCCATCAAGGATAAGTAGACGGTGTAGTCTGGCGTCGTCGTAGGTGTAGGCGCAGGCTGACTTTTACCTTGCCCAGGCAGGCAATCAGAGCCGGGGCGAGCGGGCGGGGGCATCCACCTCGACGGTTCGACGGCCGCGACGCAGGACAGCGACTCCTTGCCACCGGCGAGCCCCAACAGGTGGATCTGAAAACTGGCGTTGGGAGCGACTGGTCTGATCAGCGCGCTGGAAAGCGACGCCGTGGACCACTGCGTAGGAGTCGCCGGCTTCGCCGTCGCCCAAGTGAGCGACAAGGTCCCCCCGCTGGAGGAGGGGGCGGCGGCGAAGGCAGGCGCGGATCTTGTTGCTAGAATGTTGCCCATCGAGACCGCGGTGGATGGAGACAGGCGCCGCAATTTCAAGGGGGCCGCGAAGTGTCCAAGTGCGAAAAATGCAAAGACTTGGCCCACTCGCGGGCCGCGGACGGCCTCATGGCGCGAGCAGCTCATCGCCGAGCAAGATCCGCATCCTCGGAGTCGTCATACGAGGTGGCGCCGCCAATGTGGACTGAGCGTGGCCGACATGGGGGTCGGAGACCACGGGTCGGCAACGCGCGTTCCGGGGCGTGCCATCTCGCACGACGAGCTCAACATCGCGGAACTGGTGTGCGCGGAGCTTTTGTCGCGCAAGGCCCCGCCCGCGCCGGCGCGACCAGTCGGCGCAGCATGCGCGCCCCTGCCGCGGAGGGCGCAGGCGCTGACACTGGCGCCATCGCGAGAGCAGGGTGTCTCTCGGACGAGTCCCTGAGGTTCAGGTTCAGGGGGTTGCTGAAGATCTGCGGGGGCTGCGTCGTCACCGTGGACAGCAGCAAGGTCGTCGGCAGCCAGAGCGGCAGCAGCGCCTGAGTCCAAGGCGGGCGCCGCAGGTGGCGGCTCCGCTGGCGGCTCCGCCAACAATTGCAGCGGCGGCTGCCCCCCGTCTCCTCCCGAAGGCGGCGGGGCCGGTCCTCCGCTGCCGCTGGCTTCTCCATTGGTTGTGAAATCGTCATCTCCTTATTTTCGCTGCATTTACTAAGCGAAATTGTGCGCGCGTCGGTTCGCTGCGCTGTTCTCTATGTTGCCAAATTTTTGCGCATGCGTGGCTGATGGCTGCGACTGCGCCGGCATCGCTGGCGGTGGAAGCTGCGCCTCGCTGCGAGGGCGATTCTGAGGCGCGGGACCTGGGAGATCGAAGAAAGTGCCCTCGGCGTCGCCCGGAGGTGCAGGTCCACCATGCCCTCCTCCGGGCCCACGCGGTGGATTTCCACCGCCTCCTCCGCCGCCTCCTCCGGGATCTGGTGGCGGCGCGTCTCCTGGCGGGCCGCCAGGAGGAGGCGCTGGCGGCTGTCTGCCGCGCGGCGCGTTCAGCGCATGGCCCCGCGGCACGAGCTCAGATGCCGCGGCGCGGCGCAGGTGTCCTCGATTGACCTTCGCGGTCGCAGGGCGATGGCTGACCCAGACGCTCGGGGCGCCCTCGAAACCGATGATAGCGCCGGGCCCATGCCACTGCAAAGCCTACTTTCGCTTGGGCTTGAAATTGCCCCCCCCAGTCGCCAGTCTGGTAGACGTCGCTGGCGCGCTGGGCTCCGTCTGCCCGGAAACGGGCCAGCAGCGCCCTCGA